ATAACTCCTGTGCTCCCCGGGCCTAGTAACCACCCCCTATCCCGGCAAATAGCAAATGAAAAGAAAATCACTGCTGGACACAGTAATAGAAAAAACATTTTCTATTTTATGTGTATTTTCAACCCAGAGAAAAAGAAGACTAAATCCCTTATTTTGTGCAGCAGTTCCTAAAATATAATCAAAGAGATGCTAGTAAACATTTAACTTTAAATTAGCTTTCTCAAACTTTTAGACACTGGAATCCAGATTTGCTGATGCTCCGAAGCTCGTTAAAGCCTTTCTCGGCATCATATTTTCATGCTCCATCTCAGATGACTTGGAAAACGTCCGAAAACACCACCACCGCTTCCACAAAACAACTGCTCGCACAGTGCGGATTTCTACATCTAGTGTTTATAGAACTCTGTTTCCGGGAGAAATTTTAAATGTCAATACTAAAAAATGATATTATTGAAATTGGCTGCTTTAGTCAGTAAATACAGTCAGCACCTACTCAGAAACAGCTTTGAAAAAAATAATTGGAGGGGCACCTGGGGAGCTCAGTCAGTTAAGTGTCTGACTCTTGCTTTCAGCTCAGGTCAGGATCTCCCGGTCTGTGAGATCGAGCCCCAGGTCAGGATCTGTACTGACAGCGCAGATCCTGCTTGGGAATCTCTCTCTCCTCTAACCCCCTGTCGGTGCTCTCTCTCGAAATAAATAAACATTTAAAAACATAATTGGAATAAGAAACCTTTCTTGCTGCCATTTTTAAATTGCTGTAAATGAAAATAATTTCATCCTTGTGGAATCATTAGCTTTCTGTATGTGTGTGGCTTAAAGCCCCGTGTAAAACGACATCATGTGCTTTGTCATAGTGAATTAACACAGCCCAAAGATGAGGCAAGTCACGAAAATCCTTCTTCTGAAACCCTCCCTCCTTCTTTATGCAAATGACACTAAGAAGTAGCTTCACAGTATAAGCTAAGCCTGCATTTCATTCCTGAAAGATTTAAGAAACAAATTCCCGGGGCGCCTGGGTGGCTCAGTCGGTTGAGTGTCCGACTTCAGCTCAGGTCATGATCTCGTGGTCTATGAGTTCGAGTTTGATCTCCGCTTCGGGCTCTGTGCTGACAGCTCAGAGCCTGGAGCCTGCTTCAGATTCTGTGTCTCCCTCTCTTTCCTCCCCTCCGCCACTCACACTCTTGTCTCTCTCTCCTTCAAAACTAAATAAAAATTAAAACACAAAAAGAAACAAATTCCATCTACAGAGATCAACATCTGGAATCACTGAAGTTTCACATTTTTTTGATTCATAAAAATTATGTTTTTGGTCTTGATAATTACCTGTAAAGGAGCTAAACAGAAGAACACACATACACACACGTACATTCATCTTACTATTTATGAAAAAAATAGGCAATGCTCATTAAATCATTCAACTTCCTTGAATGAATAATGTGCACGTCAAAAATTATTCTGTAAGGGGTACCAGCCTGGCTCAGTTGGTACAGTATGTGACTCTCAGTCTTGGGGTCCTGAGTTTGAGCCCCACATTGGAGATAGAGTTTACTTAAAAAAATTTTTTTTGAAGAATTTCAAGTGATACTGAAAAATAGTCATGGTATTTTGTTATTGAAAGTGTTAAAAAAAAAGAAAGTGTTGATTTTTTTATATCATGTCATATGTGTATATAGTCAGAGAATAATAAATATAAAAGTACATATAGATATATTTCTATATGTATACTTTTTCAGTTATATGTATTTTTATTTATAGCAATTTATATACACTGAATATAACAAAGTGTACAGATGATAAAAGAAGCTATCTATCTACAATACTCACATCAGGCAGTCACTTATTTAATATTAGAAATGATGCTGGAAAAACACCTATACTTTAAGCTAGTTACTCATGTGCCATTTCAATCACCACTGAATAACTAATTTTAAATATTGCCCATCAGGGGTCGTCTTTGTGGCTCAGTTGGGTAAGTGTCCCACTCTTGGTTTTGGCTCAGGTCATGATCTCCTGGTTCCTGAGTTTGAACCCAGCGTCGGGCTCCTTGCTGACAGTACAGAGCCTGCTTGGGATTCTCTGTCTCAACCTCTCTCTCTGCCCCTCCCTCACTTGCGCTCTCTGTCTCTCCCTCTAAATAAATAAATAAACTTAAAAAAATAAAGACAAAAAAAGTTAAAAAATATATTGCCTGTCAGTGCAAGATATCTCAGGTGGTCCCCTATGAGGTATTGTCATGTAATGAACTGCTATAAAATTCCTGATCCTCTCAAGAGGTTTACATTAATCAACTTCATTCCCAGTTCAAAGTTTTAATGTATATTCACATATTTCTTCTGAAGTTTTAACCCCTACAAAATTCAGCTTTAAATTAGAAGGGAAAAGTAGAAGAGTGAGGAAGAACAGCAACTGAGTTTAATTTCGGTCTTGGATAGAGCCGCAAACACATTTGCTTTTCTATTCTTGTGTCTGTTAGAAAAGAAAACAGTTCTGATTTTAGCTAAATGTGGATTTTTTTTTTTTTTTTTTTTTTTTTTTTTGGTAACTCTTCTTGGATCCCATTGTAAAAACCTTCTTAGAATGTTCACCCGCTTCCCACAATATTGCCACATATTCTTTGGAGCCATTGGCAAAATGGATGTAGTTTATAGAGTCTTTGCTTTTGCATTGAGCTTTTGCCCGGCTCATATCTTTGGATACATTTAAAAGAGAAAGCAATACCCACTGTGTTGAATATCTTTCATAGTATGGGTGAAATATGTAATTTGAAATTCCCAAGTTCAAAGTACATTTATCTACAGCTTGATTTTACACTTGAAATTTCCTCTGCTTCATAAGAGTTTGTAAAAAATTAGGAGGAAAAAGTCTTCCTCCTGTCATTTATCACAATTTTCCTTAGACTTGAGTAAAATATACAGAAACTTGAAAAAACTCAAATCATGTGCTCTCTTTCTATTTTCCATTACTTCAATTGTAACACTTGTCCAGGTATCAATCCTTTGCATATGTTATTATACAAGTATATTTTCAGAGAAAATTTTGAAATAAATACAAATTCACAGAATGAATGCATTAATTTTAATAACATTAAATTGGAAAGATGATGCTATTTTATTGAACTTAAAACCAGAATGTTGAGTTTAAGAGCAAAGATATAGCCACTGTGATCTTTATTTTGTGTATGTTTTGATTTTACTAATACTAATACACAGAGCTTATTTGCAAAAGGATATTTATATGATTTAAGGTATTTCAAACCTTTTTTGTGGGGTTTGAAACATTAAAAAAAAACAGAACTCATTCTTCCCCAAATTTTGCAAGAATGGTGGGCTTGTAGGCAAATTTTGAGGCACAGTCCAAATGACTGTGAACACTAAAAGAATGTTTTTCCTTTGGTTGATCCATTGACTGAAATGAGCTTTTATTTATTTTTTTATATTTTATTTTATTTTAGAGAAAGAGAGAGAGAGAGCACAAGTGGGGAGCAGGGCAGAGGAGGAGAGACTCTAAAGCAGGCTCCATGCTCAACACTGAGCCCGATGATAGGCTTGATCCCAAAACCCTGGGATCATGACCTGGGCTGAAATCAAGAGTCAGATGCTCAACCCACCAAGCCTCCCAGGTGCTCCTGGAATGAACTCTTAAATCTAAAAATGTGGACTCTGAAATCAGATGGCCTTATACAAATGATTAGGCATAGGCTAAAACATTTTAGATCACCATCTGAATAAAAAAAATGGTATTTATAAGAATATACATGCTGTATAACTTAAATAGTGAGTATGTTACTTATAAATATATATATGAGTATGCATATTCTTAGGGAAGTATAAATAATGTAATACTTACATTGTATGTATACATTATTGGATAATTTATAGATCTCCAAGTCTATGTTCCTCTTCTATCAACTCTTGGACTCCAGTTTGAAAAACATTGACTTAAAGTGTTGCAATGAAAATGTATCGTCTTTTTAGTCCTCCCCTGTTATTTATGTGTATCTTGTTACATACTATAATAGAGTGAATTGTACATGTGTTGAAGAAATTATCAGCGGTTCAAAACTTTTCTACATTACAAGATTTCAAATATATAGAAGGAATTAGAGCAAGCTATTTGTCTGCAAATCTGAAAAGATAATCAGTGATCCCATCCAACATTTAGCTGAGTAATACTGAATAACTCATTGAAAATCAGTCTGTTAAAATGAGATACTCTACTACACATAACTGTAACCATCTGGTGTGCCAAAACTCTCCTCTGCTTTCAAATAAGAAGGCACAATGATGATCAAATACAGTTGATCCTTGAAAAACACGGATTTGAACTTTATGGAGGTTAAACCTCACATGTATTTTTTTCACGAATACATAAACTTATAGTATAGATAAATACAGTATAATGTTGTAAATGTATTTTCTCTTCCTTGTGTTTTCTTAATAATGTTTTCTTTTCTCTACCTCACTTTATTGTAAGAATACAGTATATAATACATAAACGTAGAAAATATGTGTTAATACACTTATTTTTGTTGTTGGTAAGGCTCTGGTCTACAGTAGACTATTAGTAGTTAAGTGTTGTGGGTGTTAAAAGTCATACACATATGTTCAACTGCTACAGGGGTAGGCCACTCTAACCCCTGCATAATTAATGGGTCAACTGTGGATTAAAAGGTAAATGATGGAATCTCTGGGATATATACATGTATATATAAATATTTACCATGCATTTTTCTAATTTTTTGTGTGTATTTAAAATGTTTATAATCAAAGAGTTGGAAGGAAGGAAGGAAGGAAGGAAGGAAGGAAGGAAGGAAGGAAGGAAGGAAAGGAGGGAGGGAGGGAGGGAGGAAAGAAAGAAGGAGATGAAAATGAAAAAAGAACCATAAGATATTTCTTTAACTTTTCTGATGAAAAGTTATGCCGCAAGTATTTTTAACACAGGGCCATCCCTTTAATGGTGTTTTCTGTCTCTGTCTCTGTCTCTCTTTCTCCCCCCAAAAGCTCCATTCTGACTTAGATAAAGGAGAGGGCACTGTTAAATACACCCTCTCAGGAGACGGCGCGGGCACTGTTTTTACCATTGATGAAACTACAGGGGACATTCATGCAATAAGGAGCCTGGATAGAGAAGAGAAACCTTTCTACACACTTCGTGCTCAGGCTGTGGACATAGAAACCAGGAAGCCCCTGGAGCCTGAATCGGAATTCATCATCAAAGTACAGGACATTAATGATAATGAGCCAAAGTTCTTGGATGGACCTTACGTTGCTAGTGTCCCAGAAATGTCTCCTGTGGGTGAGTAGGCAAATCGAAATTTTGTCAGATGCTATGAGGCCTTTTCAACATTTATTTTTTGCAGTTTGGTGTAAACATCTTATTTGTAAGCCAGAAGATTATTCCTCCCCTGTAAAGGATGCAATTATTTTCATTTTTCCCATTTTTTTCTGGCTCCATCTAAATATATAAATAGATTCATAAACATGTAGGATATATAGCATTTACCCTATTTTCCAGTCTTTGCATTCACCTGAGCTCAAAGAATTCCTTGTAATTAAGTACAAAACTCACTTTGTACTAAAATTCATTATCATTGCAATTCCAGATGCCTACACAGGTACCTACCGTACCTACCAAATAGCAGATAGTAATTCATGGTTCACAGTAAATCATCCAAAGCATGTGTTCTATATTTGTCTGGAGTGGTCCAGAAAGGAGCGTGCTATAGATGGAGATTCCAGAAGGATGATACTGTTTTGTTTTGACTACAAGTAACCCATAGTAGTTACATCATCAAACCAGGAAGCAAGTATTATCGTGAACTCATTAGAAGAAATTTACAATTCAGCTACCGTGTATATAAATTCATGGTATTAATTTATAGAATATAAATTCACATTTCAATATCAAGCTAAATTCAGAAGTTCTAAGATAATGTATTTTTGAGGTCAATGAATTAAGGATTATGGTTTTAATGACTATTTTAAATAACTTTTATTCCTCAGTCACCACTGCCAATCCCTTATTCTATTTCAAAGTAACTTCTCGTGTCTAGCACATTAGTAAGATAAAGCTACCCACCGCTCCCAGGTTACAACTTGAAACTCTTGTGGGGAGCCATTGCTAAGTTTCCTGTCTGACATTCCTCAGAAGGCTTCTGCTGGCCCTACAACCATCCCATTTTAAATATTAGTGTGCAACCACAGGGCTGCAAATCTGTTATTCAGTTTTTGCTACATTTTTGAGCTGTTGCTTTTATATAGTGCTGATTGCTAGAGATTTAGAAGTACAATCGAGAAGAAGTAGATTTTATTAGAAAGTGTCCCTGAAAATTGGGATATTACTGGGAGAGAAAAAAAACTTAGGTACTATTTTGAGCAAAAGTAAGGTTTTTAAGAAGACAATGTTTTTTTTTTTTTTTTTTTGTTCCTAAGTGGTTTAACCCAGGGCTTACTTCGTGTGAATTTGACATATTTATAAGAATTTATGACTCTCAGTGACTATTATAGAAACAACATCCCTTTTTAAAAATTTTTTTTTAATGTTTATTTATTTTTTGATGGAGGGAGGGGCAGAGAGAGAAAGGGAGACATAGAAATCGAAAGCAGGCAGCACAGAGGCCTACATGGGGCTCGAACCCACAAACTGTGAGATCATGACCTGAGCCAAAGTTGCTGATTGAGCCACCCAGGCGCCCCTGTAGAAACAACATCCTTAAAGCAAACATACACATCCCTCTACATTATTAGAAAATTCTGTCTTATTAGACAGGTAATTAGTTCTTTTGTTGTGCCAATTTGGATAAAGGGAAGGACTGCAGAGTCTGAACTTTATATAAAGAAGTTCACACCTGGAACCTGAAGAGAGAAATAAATCTGGAAAATCAGGGTAGGTAAGTGACAAAACAAAGTGGTCCCAGCTTTTCCAGTATTGGGGTGAGACACAATTTGCTGTACTGCCTTGAGGTATCAGAAAGATCTAGGGAAGAATGGGTTTTTAAAAATGGTTTGCCGTATGACATTACTGAAGTTTCTCATTGTTTATTCAAGAAATTCCAGTAAATTCTTAAACTGAATTTCAACACACCCTCCTGTTTTCATTTTTTTTTTAACAATAATAAAGGAGTATTTCTTTTGAAGGTGACACCACACTGAATGCTATGGGTTCACCCAGGTATTATTGGACTACATTTACATAATATGCTGTTTTCAAAGATTCGCTAAGAAGTTTAAACAACACTTATGAATTAAATATTAGAAATTAAGTATCTACCACATACTGCTTTTGCCATTCCCCACAATCCTGTCTATACACATAACAAAACAACATAAGAGACCCAGTTGGGCTTGTGGCATTTGCTGTTTCTGCTTTTACATGACCAACCCAAAGCTAAGGAGAAATTTCCGCGCATCCATCCAGATGTCACAGCTATGTTCCTAGATCTCTGGGGCTCAATCCGCAAGCACACCTTCTTACCACATGGAAATGGTCACTGTTGTAAATCACTTGTGATAACTCTTCGTTCTATTTTCTTTAACCGCCTCCCTTCTGGCAAATTCCTGCTTCTGCGTCATTTTCCTTGGGATATCAAAATTATTTTTGTTCAACACCAAATGGAGTTCACCATGATTTGTTAAGACAGAATAACTATTGTCACAGCAAATCTTGCTGTCAGTTTTACAAATCTGTGTTTGAATATTCTCTAGGAAATAATTGTCCTTTCCCGATAACAGGCAATGTTGTTATTACAGTGTTGGAGAAGAATCAACCAGTTTAAAAATAGATACAGTAAAATAGCTTATTTTGTAATACAGATGATCAAGAAATATTGGCACATCAAAACAACTTATTATACAAATGTCATTAGCAATCATAGATTGTGCATCAGAAAATATGATGAACAATTAAACATGGAGTGGAAATGAACTCAAGTGAAAATTACAGAGACTGTAACTATGCAAAGGGGAGTGGTGGTGAGCGAGGTGAGCAGAGATATCAGAGCAAAATTAATATTTAAGACTTGTCAGACTAGAGAATATATTTGGTTCCTGAAAGTTGAAGAAAATTCTAGTGAATATATTAATTGCTTAAGAGAAAGGTCACTTTGTTACCAACTTGTGCTCCATCCAGTATGCCACGGAAGTAATATTCGCAGATAAAGTGCTTTTACTCTGACCCAAGGAAATTACTTAATGATCCAGATATTCCCCAACTCAGACTTTCTCCTTGGAGACAGATTTGGATGTTATGAATGTGGTCTTAATTCTTTAAGATCACTAGAGTAACAATGAATTACAGTAACGTTCTTCTGTAATACCAGTGGTCATGCATGGGTATGGTATGCAGTTTAAGTAACTTTTCCTAGAGAGCTGACAGGTGTAACATCTTTAAACCCTTATTCATACTTGTATCATCATCCTCTGCCTGAGCTAAGCCAAGCCATCTTGAGGCAGCTGATTGAGTTATTCATAACCCGGTCTCTATGACACGTTTGATAAATGCCAATTGTGAATCATAATTTATGCAGTACGATCAGCCGTTTCCTGAGCAGTAGTCAGCGGCCAGGTGATCCAACTCAAGATTTGTATTCCCTGTTTTAGTATGTAACCATTACAGGAATTTTGTGCAGTATTGTTTACTATTCGATCTTCATTTTTATATAAAAAATTAACTCCAATATCAGAAAGTAAGTATGACTCTCGGACTCTTCAGAAACAAAGTTGATTGCAATCAGTTATACCCTTTTCTGGATTCTAAAATGTCTTTGGGACTTACATTTAGCTTTCAATCTTGGATGAGCTGGTTAAGACTTTGGGATGATTGTTTTATTCATTTCATTTTATTTTATTTTTTATTTTATTTTATTTTATTTTATTTTATTTTCTTTTATTTTATTTTATTTTATTTTATTTTATTTTTTATTTTATACCTGAGAATAGGAGACCCTGCTTAAAACAAAATCTAAGGAATAGTATTTCTTATTCAGTGACTTAAAAAAAAATTAGTATAAGTATAACCAAAACAAGGTACATCTAAAGAGAATTACACTGCTGGCTTATTTAAAAATTAACATGTACTCTTTTTTTTTTCCTATGAACTTTATTTTGTTTTACGTGAAGTTTGGAGATATGTGCTATGATGGAATTTTTGGTGGAGGTTTTTGAAGGCCTTTAAACAGAATATTTTGTACATGGCCATACTTAAACAGTCCAACACCGAGAAGGAAATAGTGAAAAAGGGGCCTATCCCTAATATTAATTTATTATACCATTATTATAATTTAGAAACATATAAATCTCCATAGTTTCTTTTATCAAGAAATGATAAAGCAAATATATTATTTTACCGTATGAGTCATCCATGGCCACAGAGAATAGTCCTAAGTAGGAGTAAACTATCATTAGTCTCTGTGCCCAATAAGCAGAATTTTTGTCAGAAAGTTGGAGACAGAATGTTAGCTATTTTCTATGAATAAAGACATTCTCCATGTATAACTAAAATGTGATTATTAAAATCAGGAAATTAACATTAATGCATTATTGCAATGTGATCTTTAGGCCCCATTCAAGCTTCCTAAGTTGTTTCAATATCTTACATAACAAAACTTTCTCTTTTTTTTTAAGTTTATTTGTTTTGAGAGTGAAAGAGAGAGGGAAAGCAGGAGAGAGTGTGTCTAAATGGGGGAGGGGCAGAGAGAATGAGGGAGAAAGAGAATCCCAAGCAAGTTTCATACTGCCAGAGTGGAGCTGGACATGTGGCTCAAACTCACAAACCATGAGATCATGACCTGCTTGAGCAGAAATCAAGTGTCAGAAACTTTACCAACTGAGACACCCAGGTTCCCCAAATAACAAAACTTTCAAGATGAAAATCCCATATTGTATTCCAATGCCATATCTCTTTAGTTTCCTTCAATCTGGAGCAATTCCTTACTCTTTCTTGATTTAGGGACATGTTTGAGGATTTCTGGCCAGTTATTATTTAGAATGTCCTTCATATTGGGTTTGCCTAATGTTTCCTCATGTACAAATTCAGGATATGCTTCTTTGTTAAGTACATCACAGACATGATGCTGTATTCTTGTTGCATCCCGTCAGATAGAACAGGGTTTTGATTTGTCTCATTACTAATAATGTTAATTTTTATTATTTGATTAATGTTGTGTATTAGCTATGCAGTGTGATCAGCCAACATAAACATTAGCTGGAAACTTATCAGTATGAAACAACAAACACTTATTATCTCACAGAAGCATGGATATCCAGAAGTGACTTGGGTGGGTACCTTCGGCTCAAGGT